CCAGTGATTAATCTGCGATGCGTTTTGCAAAATCCTGGCTCTTGCTGTCAAGCTCTCCGGGGAATTTTTGCTCCCCGTGCAATACCTAGAGCACTGCGGGACTCAGTGCTGCCGCAGCCATGCCTGCAAGGTCCTTCGCACAGAGGAAAGCTCTGAACAGGGGGCGAGGTCCAGCCTTAGACTCCATGGTTTGACACTGAGCCTGTCTAGAAACAAAAATGATTACCAAGATGATTAGAGGGCTGGAGCATCTCTCCTATGAAGAAAGATTGCAAGAGCTGGGCCTGTTCAGCCTGGAGAAGAGAAGATTGAGAGGGGATCTCATCAACGTGTACAAGTATCTGAAAACAAGTTGTCAAGAGGATGAGGCCAGCCTCTTCTCCGTGGTGCCCAGCAACAGGACAAGAGGCAACGGGCAGAAACTGAACCACAGGAAGTTCCATCTGAACCTGAGAAAAAACTTCTTCACTGTGAGGGTGACAGAGCATTGGAACAGGTTGCCCAGAGAGGTGGTGGAGTCTCCTTCGCTGGAGATATTCAAAAGCCGTCTGGATGTGATCCTGGGCAATATGCTCGAGGTGACCCTGCTTGAGCAGGGAGGTTGGACTAGATGATCTCCAGAGGTCCCTTCCAACCTAAACGATCTGTGATTCTGTGATTCTGTGATTCTGTGAAAAATGGCTCCCAAGCACTGACCGAGTCTGACATTTCATACCCGTTTGCCAAAACAGACAGGCCATGAAGAGGGAACAAATCTCAGCAATATCTGCAAAAGCTCACAGTGACAGGTCTTCCTTGGATGCTGAAGGGCCAAGTGAAGAGCCACCAGGTGGAGGAGGCCATGGTAACATGCTGGCACAAGGTGCCCACCCCAGCGGTGGGCTTTGGCTCCGGCTCGCCTCGGCCGGGAGCAGGCGCTGCGCGAGGGCTTGTGCACCCAAAAGGCGGCTGGCGGGATGGAATAAGCTCTCTGAGAGGCTGCGGGTGGGCACAGGGGAAACAGGGAAGGAACGGGTCAGGGGAAGAGATGGAGTCGCGCATCAGCCGCTCTAAACAGTCCTGCAGAGTCTACGCGCCCTATTCCAGCAAACAGCCACAGAAGTTGAATCCTATTCACAATTAAAAGAAAATACCAAATATTTCACAGCTGATCCTTTCTTGGCAGCGGCTCCAATGTTATCTTCGCCTAAGGATGAAGAGTTCCCAAACAATTCCTCTACTGTACTAGACATAAACACGCTCCCATCCAAAGCCAGACCTATCTCTTT